AAAGAAAGTGAGTCTCGTTGATTGTCCCTCCTGAACACCCTAAAAAGTCCACTGAAGAGCCTCCTCTCCATTATGTAGATCATATCTTAATTGCCTTCTTCATACAAGTCTGTCTTCATGCAGTTGTGTCCATCATAACCATGGCCGAGGGTTGAAATGACTGAGAATAATCGCTACAATCAAAAAAACAATGTAAATTTTTGGAATAGGTTATTTAACATCAACACGTACAGAACTATATTTAATGTGTTTTCATGGGGTCCCTTAGAAGGCTGCCTACTTTTAGTTAGTGCCTCTGGTTTATTGCCTATAGCTTGAGGAGCACTGTGATAAACACTGTGTGGCCAAAGGAATGTGGACACCTGACCATCACACCTATATGTGCTTGTTGGACATCCCATTCCAAAACCATAAGCATTAATATAAAGTTGCCCCCTTTGCAGCTAAAACAGCTTCCACTCTTCCAGGAAAGGCTTTCCACAAGATTTTGGACTGTGTCTGTGGGAATTTGTGCCCATTCAGTCAAAAGAGCACTTGTGAGGTCAGACACTGATGTTGGACGAGAAGGCCTGGCTTGACATTCCAGTTCATCCCAAAGGTGTTCACTGGGCTTGAGGTCAGGGCTCTGTTCAGGCCACTGGAGTTCCTCCACACTAAACCCGTCAAACCATGTCTTTATGGAGCTTGGTTTGTGCACAGCGACACAGTCATGCTGGAACAGGAAAGGACCGTATCCAAACTGTTGCTATTAGGTGTGAACATGTGTGATTATATGTCTGTATTTCCGGCCCTGTGATGGACCAGTGGCCTGTCCAGGGTGTTTCCTGCCTTCTGCCCAGCAGCCCCACGTGACCCAGGAGGATAAGCGGCTTAGATAACGTGTGTGTGGAACTAGGAGCCTGAAAAATATGAAGGACCAGATTTGCCAAAATGAAAAATAAATAAAATATAAAATAATTGACCTAGTAAATTAATATATGAAGTAGAATTGCAAAGAATAATGATGATTAATCTAAAAATAAATAAATATACATAACAATTAATATATATATTAATATATTAATAAATTAAAATCTTATATAATGTCTGCATTTATTTGTCTATTTAGTAAATTCCCCTTCTCACTAATTTTTGTATTTTATTTATTTGTTTCTTTATTAATATTTCTTTGTTTTTTCTATTTATTTTATTAATTTATTTTCATAACTATTAATTTATATATTTTTTTTATTTCTCTATTTCCTTGTCCTTATGCTAATAAAGGGGCTGTCAGTCAATGATGTCACAGCGTTTTAATATTCCTATTGGATGATCGATATCAGATTCTGTAGATCGATTGTACATGTCTTTTTCTGCAAATTTCAGATCACTCAGACATTCGGACGCCCGTTTCACACACTGCCTGTGGAAGCCATCGAGAGTTATTTATCAACAGGTTTGTTTGTCCGTGCAGTTCTTTATGGAGTGAAAGAACAGTTTAATCAGCTCTTCTCCTCCTGGGCTTGATTGCTAAGCCTGAACGTGAAAAACACGCCCCCTCATTATCATATGAACAAGGAAAAACAGAAATAAATAAACGAATGAATGAAAAAAAAAATTAATTAATTGATAAAAAATAAATAAATGAATACACGAATCAAAAAATAAAGCGAACAATTGTTAAAAATATAGATATGAAAAAATATAAAAATGGCATTAATAAAACAAAAAATATAATACAGAAATAAATGAACTGAGGAATATATAACAGCAGAAAAAGGAAATATGTGTATAATTACAATCACAATAAGCAATATATACTTTATTTATTTATTTTTATTTATTGATTAATTTACTGAGCCATTTATTTTTTAATTTTATTTATTTTTCAATTTGGCAAATCTGGTCCTCCATAGAAAAACAGCCCCAGATCATTATCCACCACACTTTACTGTTGCATTACTATGGATTCCAAAAGGTAGGTATGCATTCCTGGCATCCATCAAATCCATTCATCACTCCAGAGATCACGTTTCTACTGATCCAGAGTCCAGAGACGGTGCGCTTTATACCACTCCTGCCGACACTTGGCATTGTGCATGGGGATCTTAGGTTCGTGTGCAGCTGCTCAGCCATAGAAACCCACTTCATAAAGCTCCCAGTGCACAACTCTTGTGCTGATGTTGCTTCCAGAGGCAGTTTGTAACTCTGTAGTGATTGATGCAACAGAGGGTAGGCGATTTTACGCAATATGCGCTTCAGCACTCGGCGGTCCTGCTCTCAAGTTTGCGTGGTCTACCGCTCTGAGGCTAAGCTGTTGTTGCTCTTAGATGCTTCCATTTCACAATAACAGCACTTACAGTTGTCTGAGGCAGATCTAGCAGAAGTTACACAAACTGAAATGTCAAAGGTGGTTTCTTATGACAGTGCCAAATGTAAAGTCACTGAGCTCTTCAGTAGGACCCATCCTACTGTCAGTGTTTGTCTATGGAGACTGCATAGCTATGTGCTTGATTTTATAGCAATGGGTGTGGCTGAAACACCTGAACTCAACAATTAAGAGGGGTGTCCACCTTGGCCACATACTGTAAGTGCATTTGGGAATAAACATTTCTGTGATAATTGCCTTAACACCCTGTGAAACAGCTGAATCGCCAGTTAATTCACTACTTCTGGCACAAGGGGTCAAATGTACACCCCACCGCAACCTAAACTACTCAGCTTAAATGGGCATTCCAGACCTCAACATGCATTTAATGTCATTTGTAGTGTTTTGCAGTACTCTGCAGTGCAGAACTGCATCCCTCAGGCATTTTACAGAATTCACGATTTTGTATCCTTTTTGTTTTCGTTCATCAGTGACTGCATGTATGTCATACAACCATCGGGCAATTCCATTGGAAACCTTAACTTCTGTCATTCATTGTACTGGTGAAGACCAGTAATAATTTTAGTTTAATTTGACAGCGACATTTCCATCACAAACTCCCTCCAATGCTACCACAAACCCATGGTTGGGAATCCCTGTGTTAAAGTGTCAATAACGCTGTAAAATCTGGAGCTGTTTTTAACAACATAAATGAGCAAAACCATCTTCCCCACTAACAAAACTGAACATTTCACTGTAACGTTTGTGTTGTGGCACCAAAATTCAGTGGCAGTCAGTGTGTTGTAGTAATAAGATACAATACACCGATCAGCCATAACATCATGACCACCTCCTTGTTTCTACGCTCATTGTCCATTTTATCGGCTCCACTTACTATATAGGTGCACTTTGTAGTTCTACAGTTACAGACTGTAGTCCATCTGTTTCTCTGCATACTTTGTTAGCCCCCTTTTACCCTGTTCTTCAGTGGTCAGGACCCCCATGGACCCTCACAGAGCAGGTACTATTTGGGTGGTGGATCATTCTCAGCACTGCAGTAACACTGACGTGGTGGTGGTGTGTTAGTGTGTGTTGTGCTGGTCTGAGTGGATCAGACACAGCAGTGCTGCTGGATTTTTTAAACACCTCAGTGTCACTGCTGGACTGAGAATAGTCCACCAACCAAAAATATCCAGCCAACAGTGTCCTGTGGGCAGCGTCCTGTGACCACTGATGAAGGACTAGAGGATGACCAACACAAACTGGGCAGCAGCAGATGAGCTATCGTCTCTGACTTTACATCTACAAGGTGGACTGACAAGGTAGGAGTGTCTAATAGAGTGGACAGTGAGTGGACACAGTGTTTAAAAACTCCAGCAGCACTGCTGTCTGATCCACTTGTACCAGCACAACACACACTAACACACCACCACGTCAGTGTTACTGCAGTGCTGAGAATGATCCGCCACTCAAATAGTACCTGCTCTGTGAGGGTCCATGTGGGTCCTGACCACTGAAGAACAGGGTAAAAGGGGGCTAACAAAGTCTGCAGAGAAACAGATGGACTACAGTCTGTAACTGTAGAACTACAAAGTGCACCTATATAGTAAGTGGAGCCAATAAAATGGACAGTGAGTGTAGAAACAAGGAGGTGGTCATAATGTTATACCTGATTGGTGTAAATTGTTATAACTGACTTCAAAAGACTTCATCTGACAACAGTGTGAAAAGTTGTGGGGGAAAAAAAAATTTCTACAGATATAACTTCTACTGCAAATTGCTACTAAAATCGATTTAAATAAATTATTCAGGTTTGTTTTTATTCAACAATAACTAGTCAGCGATTATTTTACACTTATAAGTGGAGTTGAGGGTGGGGCCTCGTAAATGAAATGCATTTATATGCCGCTTTTGTGCTCTCGTGTGTGAACAGTGCAAGATTTTCAAAGCATCAGTCAGTAAATGTCAAACCAGCTCACTAACAATCTCTACATGTTAAACAGTGCTGCTAAAAAGGAGAGAGGAACTGGTGTTAGCATTAGCTTAGCTAGCATGATAACCGCTCTGCTCACCACAGAACATGGATGATTCTGGCTAACTAAAGCACAGACAAGCTTAGATGATGATTAAAATCGGAGGGATTGAAAACCTGTTCCATGGCGTGTGGCACTGTTTGGGTCTGTAGCCTGATCTTCAACCTGCTTGCCAAGCTAATGTTAAGTTAGCTGATCAGGCTACAGACCCAAACAGTGCCACACACCACAGTACAGGTTTGGTTCGGACTGACTTCTGCTCTGCTGAAACAAGTGCAGATGAGAAAACCTGACGCCTGAGAGAGCAAACATTGAGTGACCAACAGAAAATTGAACCTGCTCTGTGGTGTTTGGGACTGTAGCATTTTGGCTAAGCTGACGATAGCTTAGTTACAAGCCAAACATGCCACGCACCACAGCACAGGCCGTTTAGTCCTGGAATAGAAATCTGACACGTCATAATTCTGAATTACTGTTATCATTTTTAAGAACTGTGGTTTATCTCATCACAGATATACTGCCTAGTGGAATAAGTGGAAAAGTGAGTTTGCTGTGGTGCTCAAAACACTGCATACAAGTGAGACATGTTATTATAAAGAAGCCACACAAAGTACACAAGAAAGAGTTACCTAACTTTATTAATATCATTATTTTAAAACTAATGTAAATCCCACGGAGTATCATCCCGGGACCTTTTAAGTCTATGAATGCATGGATACCTGCCATTAAGTACTGCATTCCAACACTCCATTCAAAATTATTACAGTTTTTTCTTGTTTTCTTTTTCTCCAAAATTCAGCAAACAGAGAGGAAATACATGGCCTCAGCGCACTTTCATTCTCAAAGCACTCCTGTCTTTTGTCTCTCATGTGCAAGTATATGCAAGTTAGCTAGTTGAGAATAATATTAGTGTTAGGCTTTCACAGCAGCAAAAAGAAAAAAAAAAGAACCAAACAAAAAGAACTAAATTAAAACAACAGTTTGCTGCACAGCTAAAGAGAGAGAGAGAGAGAGACAAATGCACTCCTAAGAGTGAGTGTGCATGTTAATGACCATATTTGAACAGAGTAATCAGCCTGCAACAGTCACTTGGTGCAGAGAGACAAACGAGGGGGAGAGAAAAACAAAAACGGAAGAAACTATGATGAAAACAATACTCCAGGCATCCAACAGCTGTGTTTGTGACTGAGATCCCCACTGAGCCGAATGTGACAGAGTTCCAACAGTGTCCTCACCAAGCGTCACTTTTTCGTGACACTAAGAAAAGCGAACAATACAGAGAGGAGACGTTCTCCTCCTCCTTTTAAAATACATTAGGTGAAGTGAAGTCGAATCGAGGTGCGCGGAGGGATCGGCCAGGACACAAACACGTGCTCATCCTGGAAGGTGGGTTTTCCGTGAGAAAAGGAACGCTGTGGGAGGTTGAACACTGATACAGCAGCTGATCTCGTAAGCATGATCTTATTTCCTAATTAAGGAATGTCTTGATTCACTTATCTATCAGATCACACTAAAACATAAAACTAACCAAATATACTGATCAATAAAATGAGTCCTGCAATGTTTTTATAATGGAGGTTGACATTCTATTCCAGTAAAGCAAGGCATTAGGTATATAAAAATGCTTCTTTACTAGAGCAGCTATTCTTGCCTGCAAGTCCTTTGGGCCTGCCAGGCCCGTATCATTTATATGTGCAAAGAAATGCATTGCAAGGATCCATGCAAGACAAAAAAATAATAATATATACTATGACACTTGTGAAAACAATTAAAAGCTACATAAAAGCTTTATAAATACAATAAAATTCAAAACCTTTAATGAGGATGTAATTTCTAGCTGTATCGGTTCTATATGATAGCTGGCACACTACGCTCTTTTTTTTTTTCTATTTTTTTTTCTCCTTTTTTCAGTATTGGATCTGCGCAGGTAATTCATGCCATCTTTGGTTGAATGTGTTACTGAAGAAAAAAAATAAAACAAACGAACAAACAAACAAACAAAAAGATAAAATAAATGTCGCTAGAAAAACAGCATCAACTTTCGGAGGATAACTGGGCCTCTATGTCCACTCTGCAGATGGGGCACTTTTTGTTAGTGAGGAGCCACTGATCCACACACAGCTGATGGAAGAGGTGCATACAAGGAAGGCGTCTGCAAAACAAGAAGGAGCGACTGTTAGAAAATGAGGATAATGTGGGGGCCATTTCACAACACAGGATTTCTCACTTCTGTATAATTTAAATAAGGTCTAATTAAAGCCTTCTCGTTCGGCGTGAAACGTGTCGTTCTTTAGAAACTTAGAGTCAGGATTGCTCACAGTGATGGTGATAGGAACCAGACGTCTGAAGAGTTTTGTGTTATTACATAAACGTTATTACATAAAATGGTTATGAATAGTTTATAAATGGTTTATGACTGTTTTGAGATGGTTTGGACTAAAATACAACAGATCTGTCTTATATGCTATGTAAATATGCAAACAGATATACTTCTATTGCTACTTTATATTTCACTATTTCTTCTAACTTATGGCTATTTCTGTTTTTTGCCTAATGCATGTAAGTTTATGTGCAATTATATGCTTTGCTACTGTAACAGTGTAATACTATGACCACTTTCATCCATCCGTCCATTTTTGAGGCGAAACAGTCCCCATAGACAATTTAATCTTTTCTAGATTTACCACTATTTTAACATTATTAACATTATACATAAAGACATTTAAACACATGTAGGTTCACTGATCGGGGATAACAAATTAAATACATATTTGCATTATAGACATGGCGATTCCTGGTTTCTATCACCACCACTGAAAAAAAAAGTTTCTATACAATTAACTCTTCACAACTAACTACTCTGAATGACTTTGTTTATCTCCGCTGCTGATTTATAAAGGAATTCTAAAGAACTGGTGCAATTCCCCTTTGAAGGAACAGACAGATCAAATTTACGCAATATTTCCCTTCCGCTAAATGTAGTCAACTGGTCAAGACAACCTGGTGACACTGACTTATTACCTGTTAGTTACATTAGCTTAATAGCTCCAGTGAAAAACTAGACACCAAACACGTCTTGGCTGATTAACTAAGAGGGAAAACGGGTTCAATTTGATTTTTCACCAAAGCCTTCGCTTTAAGTTAATTTACAAGACTGTCCAATAAGAGAATATGTAAGGGACGTTTTTCTTGGACAGTCCTCATTTTAGATACCCAGCTTATTGAAAAATCCAGCTAGGTGAAATTCCCCCTCACCCGCTCAGTAACGTCACAATTTGGGGGAAAAAAAAATACACTAGCACAAAACAGTGCGCAGTTTGCATGTTCCAGCAACAGGGGGCACAAGAGGTTCGAATGGAGGGAAAGGAAAGAGAGACATAAAATCCTCAGTTCAGAATTTAAAGGAGTACTGCAGCTTTTATTTTAATCTTCAATCTTCAACCTACTGCATTTGCGGCATACAGCCAGTTATTACAGACAATAACTTCCCTGTACTTAGGAAAAGAACAGAAAACCTGACTTAAAACATACTTACAATGCAAATCAATGGGCAGATGCTGAAGCAAATACCCACTGCCTTCTATTCTAATTGTGTTGTGAGTAAGTATGTATTCTATTTTTGTTCTATGTACAGAGAAACCAGGCAAAAATTACTGTCCATGGTAAAAAACTATGTTACAGTTGCAGCAGATGGAAATAAGCTTAAAAAAGACTGGAATATTCCTGTAACCACATGAACCTGAAAGGCCCAGGCCCAAAATAAAAAAGCACTAATTTAAATCTGCATCCAGAGTCACGCCGCGTGCCGTCCCTGTCAGCAACAGTAAAATCATTTGATCAGTTTCAGCGTTTGAAACCAAAGTATTCAGTGTGCTGCAGTGTTTTCTATCACTCTATAAAATATGCACAAAGCTTTCTTTCTTGTTAGACAAACAGAAATATTATCGGTAATCGATTATTATTGATTAATGACAAAACGCGTCTGATGTGTAGTTTAAATTACCTATTTGTGTATTTTTATGTTCAAGATTTTCATTAACAAATAAAAATCTCTAAATTTTCCAGTTTGTTAGATCACAATCTTTACATATTAAAATAAACACAACAGCTGAATCCAGAAATCTAACAAATGGGCAGACAGACCAGACGGTTAACTGACCAGTTAATCTGAAACAAACAGTGAAACAAATGGGTGGGTTGGTCAATCGTGATCTTTGCAGTGAAAGAGGCGTTCTTAACTCATCTGGCTCAGGAGCAGTTTGAACTGTACATGAGGACACAAGCACATGCTTAGAGGGTTTACCTGACGTCCTCTCCTTCCTCCAGTATAGACAGACAGATGGTGCATTTCTCCTCTGTGTCTTCCTCGGCCCCCTCCTCCTCGTCCTGCTTACCGTGCAGCTTTCTCTGTGTGTGTGCGAGAGCAGAGAGCAGACAGACCATTACACACACACACTGCACCCAAACCCTCATCATCTCACACAGAGAGACAGAAAACTAATACATCAGCACACGACAACAGATGGGGCCATTTTCTACTCGTAGAACACATCTGAGTTTATTTTTTAGTAGAATGTGCAATTTCTGTCACAGTCTGTATAAAAATCTCAAATGATATCTTAACAAGTGAAAGTTAAAATATCTAATATTTCTCAATATGACTTCTTGTAATAAATATTATTCCAAGATTAATCAATGTATTTCTAGACACTGTATTTGTTTTGAGCATGAAAGTGAAATTATATATAAGAAAGAAGGTCTTCCAATGAATAAGATCATTTCATTGCATATATTTACAAAGTAAATAATCATATATAATGATATAATACATTGTTACATTGATAATATTTTATAATATTATATATTATATTATAATAATATTTACAATACATTAATATTTTTAAACTTCCCAATTACAAATGCTAGACATATTGATAAGATTTACAATTATTTTACTGGCCAACATTAAAAAATATATATATATCATTCAAAGTACAGAGAGTACAGTGCAAAAGTCTTAAAAATGACGTTAACCTATTTATATGGGCAGTAAATATTCATTTCTTTAAAAAAAAAAAACACTATGTTCACTACTTCCTAAGCTCTCCTCAGGGATGCCCAGTATTTACAGTTACCATCCAATACCTAGTTTATTTTACAGTCCTTCATTAAATTAAATCAGGTGCTGATGATGGAATTTAACAAATCCACGTGATGGGTGGAGAACCAAACTTGCGTTCTTCTAGCTGTATTCCTCCTGACAACATATTAATAACTTCACTGAAAATGTGAAATCCTTCTTACAATCTACTGTATTTATGTTTATTTGTATTTATTCTAACATTTTATGGTGTTTTTTACTGGCAAAAACACATTTACTGCCAAGATAAATAGTTTTAAACAATTTCTGGATGACTTTTGCACAGTACTGTATAAAACAAATAACAGTCTCTAATATTTTACACATAAGTACACAAGTAATTTTCAAATAAACAATCTATATTGATTACAAAAAGCATAATTTATTATTTTTACATACAACTAGTCTTGTAGTCCTCTATACACGGCCTTAGTGGCCTTTATAAACTACTGTCTCCCCCACACCTAAAATCTACAATATAAATAAGTTGAGTTTTTCCATTTAAACTGATCACTGATTTCTCACCGAGTTTGAGGGTGGGTGCCTATCTTTCCCAATAGATGCCCATGCTTCGGGGGATAACTGTTCGTCAATGTCTCTCTCCACCACCTTCTGTATTGGGCGGCAGGGTTTGGGGTTACTGTTATTCAGGTATGTGTAATGCATTTTGTAATCTATATGGAACCTTTTTTTATCCTACTATAAATCAGTGACACTTCAGTTCTCTAATTCTGCAACTGTAAACTCCTGTGGAGTCTGTGCAGCGCTCTACAAGCTGCACCCTCCTGCTGCTGCTGGAGAGGGAGCTCCTGTGCATGTCCTCCTCAGACGGAGTCTTTCTGCACACATGCAGCTTTTGTTATCAAGGCTAAAACGCATATGACACACTCCTCGTCATCTTACAAGCTCTCACCTTCTTGTACTTGTGCGGGTAAGTGCACCTCTCTATGGTTCCCTGAGAGGCTCCTCGATTCACAGTCCCCAGCCGCTCCTCTAAATGCAGCAGATCCTGTAAAGCAAAATAGATATAAATACATAAATGTGTCAATAGCCACTCTCCTACACACATTTTTTAAGCCAGTGTATTTCTTAATCTTAGACTCAACCATTAGAAGTCTAGAGCTGTTATCATTTTGCTATGTTTAATTTAATGCAAAGTCATTAACAAGTTAACATGAAAAATTAGCAACGACACAAGTCATTTTTTCTTAGTTTGACCCTTCGAACCATTTGCAGTATTGCAGGTTGAAACCCATCCGCAGCGTGCTGCATGTTGCTATGATAGAATCTGTGATTGTAGCCCTTGTGTTCAAACACAGCTTTTAAAGCGATACTTTCAGCACGTTTGGTAGACTATGCTGGACAGTGCTTGCAGGAGACCTACAGATAAATCAACAAGTAGCAGACTAACAAAAGCAAAAGCGAAGTCGAAAGCTACAGTTCCCCTCGTGATTTTTATGTTCAGGTTCAGGTCCTGTGTTCACATTATGAAATAAATGTTACTGAATTATTATGGGCTTATTCTGTCCACTCGTGTAGCTAAGCACTGCATTTTAAATTGAAAAAAAAATCTTTTAAGGTCAACTCTGAGCAAATAAGGCAAACATGACTAATTGTGACTGATTACAAAAAAATAATAAGATTAGTTGCAATTAATTATTTGCAACTCTTTGCCAGCCCTAAATTACATATTTGGTTATATAAGGAATTTAATTTACATTCCATTTATATTCCATTCCAAGTTTGCACTCAACACATAGCGAGAACAATGGTGGAAAGAATAACTTTCCACCAAATTCAAGTCATAACAGTATCTCTCCTACGTTTAATAACAAATACACAATTTTGATAGTTTCTCTCCTTGTCTCGATGAGCTTTGTGTGAGAAATAATTCATTTTAATATTATAACACAGTAACTTCAGAAAGTTAATATTACACTTTTCCATTTCTGTTTTTGAAATTTCGCTGGTCAGAAGGATTCCCTAAATGGCTTAAGGCTCTTTAACTGTAAATCCTACCTCATAGGTTCGGCCAAATCCAGTCATTCTGGACGAGATGTAGCGAATGTGCGGATAGGTGACCTCAGACATGCCAGTGTGCTGAGTGAGAGAGAGAAAAAAACAACAAACCATTCTAACATCTCTTTGCTATTCCTTATCAAAACAATTTGCTGTGTATGGTGGATCCTGAAGAAGAAACAAATATAGTTTCATGATTATTTACAGAGAAAGCGAACCATTTTATATCAGGTATGTCAAACTTAATATTCACTTCTGAAATGGCTGTTGAGCTCGGGTTATTAATGGCAATACATAATTCATGAGGCCTAATAATCCACCCTTGAAATAACAGATGTTGTAAATAGAAGGGGGGTCGGGCCCACCGTCATTAATCTGTGCAATACCTGAACCCACACCAGCCCTTCATTACTTATGCTAATATATGCTAATGTACATAACGATGGCTGGGAGTGAGCACTGGAGGAGATGGTACTCACCATCAGCTGGATGGGGAAGTGGTGCAGTCTGGGTGGGGGGTGGTAGTGGGGCAGATGGGGGAGCAGATGCCCTGAAGGGTAAGGAGCTACAGTCACGCCAGCCTCTATGCCCAGCTCCCTGAAACACAGCCACAACAGCAACATTAGACGCCAACAAACCAGAGCTGTTCCGATAATCATATTAATATTCATTTATTCATGATATGAGGATAAAAATACTGCTCATATCGGATGAATGAACAGATTCTAATGGTCTTCACTGTTCTATTAATACAGTGTTCTATCAAAAGAGGCAACCATGAGAACAAGACGAAATGTCCCTGTGCAGCACTCAAAGGAGAACTACACCAAATTTTCTGTATAATTCAATAGGTGAAACATAAACAAGTCATTCAGAATAACTGATGTGAAAATGCATTTCAGAGAAACTCACAGGCTCTGATATCTTCACAGTACTGGTGATAGGAACCAGGGATTGCAATACAACGCAAATATAGCTATTTTATTCTTCCAAAACTACCAGTGAACCTACACGTCGTCCAAGTTGTTATATGTAATGTTGATAATGGTGAAAGCACAGTAAATCTAAAACACTTAAGGTTTCTCTGGGGATTATTTTACCTTACAATGGCTTGCATGTACTTCTCTGCCATGAATGCTTAAAAAATACATTTTAGGCAAACCCTCATTGTTCAACTGTGACAAAAGGCATCTCAGGCATCAGGCAGCATTTTCTTAACCATTTTATATAATAAATTTCTGCGAGGAGGATTTCAGAGGCATTAAACTCTTCAGGCATCCATCAACAACACTGAACAATTCTGGCTCTGCAGGTTTCTCTAAAACATCCATTTCACATCAAACCACTCTAAATTAAATTACGTAGTTCACACCTTAACCATTTATTAGGCAGAAACTTTGAAAGAAATCTGCAGAATTCCCCTTTAATTTCAATTTAAATGTGTCTTCTCGTTCGTGGTAACTATGCATTTAGCAGCCCCTGGCAGTTGCTTTGACCTAAACAATTAAAGGAAATGAAATACTGGCACCTTTTTTAGATCTATAACATCATATTGTGCAAAAACTACAATACATACCATTCTGTGAATTTTTATACTGTTCTTTATGCCTCTAGCAACAACATGTGAAGCCCATTTGTGTGTTAAACAGGGGCACAAAACTGCAGCAGAACAAAGCCAAAAATAAAAATGCTTTGCTCACAGTATTACCATATTTAGTTCCTGAGGAACATAATTTTATTACGGTCAGCAAAACTGCTAATTAAACAGTTTTGCTCTAAGCACTAGAACAGGCCTGGAGTGGGATATTAATGCAGCTACTGCTCTGTTGAAGTTGTGCGTACCACGTGGTCCTCTGGTCAGTCTGGCGAGGGTGGGAGGACATGGTCTGGGGGACGTGGATGTGATGTCCGTGGCCGTAGTTGGGGTGCATTCTGTGAGGGTGAGGGGGAGGTCTCTCGTGTGCTCGACTGTAGGTAAAACAGCAGTAGAAACAGAGTCAGACAGCAAAGAAAAACATGACTGCTTTTAAAGGGGTCATATCTTTTTTGAGTTTGATGTACTATATAAATGCTCCAAAACACACTGTTCACTTACCAAGATATACAGTACACATAAGGAAAACATACTACTCATAGGAAGCTGGTCAAAAAGCCTGTTTTGAATTCATCATGGTTGTGATGTCACTGACATTTACACAACAGCCGTACCCATTCACACTGAAGCAATAAGGAATGTTGTCACTGCAGACAGTTTGGACTTAAAGCGGAGGACGTGATGAAAAAGAGCATTTCAAAGGATCCAGGAATCCAAAAGGCATGATTAGAATGGTAAGCAGTGGTCATTTTTACCAACATACCTGAGGACTTGACCGTCTGTCCTATATATTTCAGCTCTTTTGTATGTTTAAAGCTGCTTTTTGGACAAGGTACAACACACAGCAGCCAATCAGAACTGAAGTCTCTTACATACCAGTCTCAAAGGTACATCTGCAGTCTGTTTAATTCTGAAAAGTGATTTATGGCTAATTTTGTTACACAAACGTTATAAATAAACATATGAATACAAAAATCTACAATACAGTCCCTTTAACTTTTTCAGTGGCCATAATAAAGCAATGCCATAACTCACGTCGGGTGCTGCATCATCCTGCGTCTCTGGGCCTCCATCCTCTGCAGAATCTCGTGCTGGTGGAGCCTCTGCACGGGGTTGGGGCCCAGCACAGGCAAGTGGTGCGGCAGGGCCTGGTGCTCGGGGGCCAGGTGCTGCGTCAGGGGGGCGCTTGAGCCCGGGAGATGGTGAGGAGGGAGAGAGGGGGGAGGGGCCGGGGGTACGGTGTGGCCTGGGCCGTGAGAGGGCAGTGGGGTGTGGAAAGGGAGGACAGGGTGAGGGATGACGTAATCGCCCTGCGGAGGGGGCTGAGGAGGGGGAGGGGGATTGCCGTGTGAATGAGGACAGGAAGAGGAGGACTGGTGGTGCAAGGAGCGTGCTAGCGGACCATCTGCAAACATAGAGAGAGAGAGAGAGAGAGAGAGAGAGAGAGAGAGAGAGAGAGAGAGAGAGAGAGAGATTATAATGAGAGATTATTTTTTGCATATTTTAACAACCTTAAACATGAAGCCATGCTTTGGCCAAAACTATGATTTACATAATTTTCCCCTTAGCACGAATTTAATCAATCAACTAAGACATGTTGTTATCTGACGTTTGCTTCTTTAGTTTTGCAATGGACCTATGAGGCTAATGTACCTAACACACTGTGGAAAATTTCAGTTAACAGTTTGCCACTGTGAAAGCTGCATGCCTAAATCATTATACAATTGAGTTAAGTAATTTTAAGTAGTTGCTTATGTGCTTTCTGAAACTGTATGACACACTGTTATCAGTACAAATAGACTAAAGTAACTGAAAACAGTAGAAGCCAAGTTAAAGCCTGCAATTTGTTTACCGGTTAGCTACATTAGCCTTGTAGCTCCAGTACAAAACTAAAGAAGAAACCTGCAGACACCAAACATGTCTTACAAACTATATTTAAGGTAGAAAGTAAAAGTTTTGACTGAACAATCTTGCTGTATCTTAATTTCTTGTGAACTGAAACTGAAAATTTGGCCATACGGACTGCAGCCTGTCTGGGCACTACAAACCTCCATCAGCATCGCCCTGGCATGCGTGAATACTCAGGAGTGGAAATGATTTGTTGATTGCTGAGGGGCCAATGAGAGAGAGGGGAAAAGAGAGAGAAATGGGGGAGGGAGAGCAAGAGAAAGAGAGAAGGAAGGGGGGAAAAGGGGAATGATACAGGTGGGAAAGAGGGGAAGAGAGAGGAGAGAAAAGCTGAGAAAAAGAGAAGGGAAAAGGGGAATGATGGGTGGAGAGATGGTAAGAGAGAGAGACAAAGTCTGAAGGGGGGGATGCAGAAAGTAAAAGAGAGGGGGTAGGTGGAAAAGATAGAGAAAGAGGAAAGAGGGAATAAAGAGAAGGGGAAAAGGGGAAAAAGAGAAGGGGAACATAGAGAGAAAGGGAAAAGGGAGAAAGGCAGACAGAGACAAAGGGGAATTAGAGGGAGACAGGAGGAAAGAGGAGATGAGAAGATCGAAAGGCTGAGAAAGAACAAATGAGAGAGCAGAAAGGGGGAAATGGGGCAGGATGGGGGATAGGGAGAGAAAGGCTGGGAAAGAAGGGGTAGAAAGAGTAGGAGAGAGTGAGGGGGTAAAGGGGAAGACAGACAGAAAGGAATAGAAATGATGGAAGAAAGAGAGAAGAGAGGACAGAGAAAGAAAGGGGGGAGACAGAGAGGGAGAGAACAGGCAGGTGCACCAGTGCACAGCAATTACCCCTCTAAATACAGGCCCACCAGGGACGCTGCCACACTCATTCACATTCTACATGCCTCTGTTCTGAAGAGAAGCAGCAATTAAAGCCGACTGCTGGGCATACGCTACCTGCGGCACTTAACACATTAAACATCAGGTGCTTCGCCTAATTACCATCAGCACTGGAGTTTGGCTACAAATGCGCATTTCGTCGGTTTCATACGACCCCCACCAAAACAGAAGGGGATCACATGAAAGTAGGTTCACTGAACTGTATTACAGCCGTGACAGCATATTCAGTTTATTAACTCATCACTGCTCTCCAAGTGGACAGAAATACTGCAAAAAGTAATTAAAAGTTGTGAAACATGGACTATAAAATGTTTTCAATATCTTACAGCATCTACTGTTACATCACTAAAACACAACAACTATTAATATGAAAAGTGATTCCAAACTTTTAAAGGGTAACGTATAAAGATATTAATTGAATCATCATACATAACATCCAGTCATTCATGGTCAGAGGCTTTCTTACAAATGAACAAGTCAGAGATGGAACGCAGTGCTGTGCTTACAGGAGGGATGCATGTAGTGCCTGCAGGACGAGAGCTGAGGTTGAGGCTGGGGCACCATGGCTGGGCTGAAAGTGTCAGCGACGCTGGGCTGACTGGGCCCCGGTGCAGCCTGGGAAACGTAGGCAGGAGGGCGCGAGGTGGAGCCCGGACAGCAGGGGTCGAAGGCAGAGGTGCTGCTGAAACCAGTACTGCTGGAGCCGTTGCTGCGAACAGCACTGCTACTGAGATCAACGGGCAGGGTCTGCTGAAAGAGAGAGAGAGAGAGAGAGAGAGAGAGAGAGAGAGAGAGAGAGAGAGAGAGAGAGAGAGTAAGCATTTCGTTTATTGTCATGTTTGTGTGTGTGTGCCTATACATACATATACACCCATATATATATATATATATATACACATATACACCCATATATATATATATATATATGTGTGTGTGTGTGTGTGTGTGTGTGTATTTATATGTGTATTTTGGCCATTTATGTTGGTCCGTTCTTCATGAAATTTAGACACAACGTACAGGACAACAGGCATTTTCAAATTATGTAAAAAACTGAAAAACGACAAAAATGAAAATACGAGATTCAGCGATATATATTACACACACACACACACACACACACACACACACACACACACACAGTTGGAAATCTGCAAATGGTAACTTCACAGGTGATGGAAAAACACTCAGCTTGTAATGTAATAAGACATTATTATATTAACACATTAACCCCTTAACATCCCAGGCTTATAACATACAAAGGCTTATTATTCAGTAACTACAGGGACTTCAATGTAATTCAATTCAACGGTGGAGCTATTCTTAGATTACAGAAGTGTGTAATGGCCTGTTCAGGGGTTAAAGGCCACATTTTATGTTTTATTTTAACTTCAGCAAATAAGAGAGGGAGGGAGAGAGGGAGGGAGAGAGGGAAAGAAGGAGAGGAGGGCAGGAGGGAGAGAAGGACGGGGGAGACAAAGAGAGAGGGAGAGAGCGAGGAATAGAGTGGGAGAGGCAGAATGGGAGGGAGGAGGGAGAGGAAGAGAAGGAGGGAGGGAGACGGAGAGAGAGAGGAAGACAGCGAGGAACGGAGAGGGCGAGGACAGGATAGAGAGTAGGAGGGAGGGAGTGAGCCATGGGGGAACTGGAGGGAGAGAGGGAGAGAGCGAGGAACAGAGTAGGAGGGCAGGATGGAGAGGGAGAACAGGAGGTGAGGGAGATAGGCAGAATGGGAGGGAGGAGGGAGGGCAGGATGGAGAGTAGGAGGGAGGGAGTGAGCCATGGGGGAACTGGAGGGAGAGAGGGAGAGAGCGAGGAACAGAGTAGGAGGGCAGGATGGAGAGGGAGAACAGGAGGTGAGGGAGATAGGCAGAATGGGAGAGAGGAGGGAGGGCAGGATGGAGAGTAGGAGGGAGGGAGTGAGCGAGCGAGCGATGGGGGAACTGGAGGGAGAGAGGGAGAACGGCAGATAGGAAGGGAGAGAGGGAGAACAGGAGGGAGGGAGGAAGCCAAGGAGAACAGGAGGGAGGGAGAAAGGCAGGGAGAACAGGAGGGAGGGAGAGAGGCAGAACGGGAGAGAGAGCAGGACGGAGGGAGGGACAGTGGGAGAGCAAGAGGGAGAGCAGGAGGGAGGGAGAGAAAAAAAGAGACACAGAACAACATAAATATGAAAAATCAGCTCAGTTAATGAACCGTTAGTAGAAAAAAAATGATGTAAATTATCTGAGAGGTGACCAAGCACAGCTTTGACTTCTACCAAAAAGAGCCGGTAACCCCAGAAATGAATTGTCTACCAAAAAAAAAAACAAACAAAAGAGAGAGAAAGAGAGAGAGAGTGCACGTCAGATTTGAAAATGCTCTGTAAGGCTCCCCATATCTAATCTCATTTAACGCTTTGATGAATAAAACATGACCCAGTACACCTCATCCAAGAGCCTCCTGCCTGTGCATATCTGATCGCTAGCTAAAGGCTCTGACTGCTCACAGCCCACATCATCAAAAGCCACCAGAGTTCGCCTAATGCATTCAACATGGAAACGACATCCTTCACTCGCTAACGCTGATGACTCCTTTCTGAGCGCTTTGCCCCCAAACTCTCCTTGCATTATTGAACACAGTGTGTGTGGAAAGAGAAAACGCTGCGAAAAATCGTTGAAGGACAGCGACATAAACAAACCTCATTAGTCATGAACACTCCCCTTTGATTATAATATAATTCAGCAGCTCCAGCAATTAGCTCCATGTGAATTATTCAGAGCTCAGCTATGCTGCAAGGGTGGCTTCAAACAACAGCTATGATTATTTTTTGTTCCCCACCCCACCTTAAAAGAAAGAAAAAAAATCAAAAGGTGCTTTGTTTTTTTTTTCCCTTTTCATCATCCAAACATAAAGGGCATTTCAGAAAATCAAATGGAACCACGTCTTTATTCATTTCAAATGAGAACGCATGGTGCCTATTTCAAAAAGTACTGTAAACAGACAACAATACACTGCGCAGTCACCTCTCTATCATGACTTTCCCACAAAAATGCAGCCATTCATAACCAACCTGGGTTCAGATGTTTTATGAGAGTAAATAAAAATGAACAGAACGCCTACAACCAAACATCACATTGCGTAAGATCTCTGGTTGTTGAAATATGTTTATATTAAATACAGAACGGTTCAAGAGTTTGAAATCACTTGTCATGTTAATAATTGTTATTTCACTTAGTATTAACTTATACAGTGTAGGCAGAAACTATAAACCTTACACCGGTGAGTGTTTCAGATACTTATACTTTATTATTTATACTATTTATACTATTATTCATACTTTATCTTGACACAAAAAGTAATTAAATGATAAGCAATTATCAACGTATAGCCTTGCCTTGAAATTTGATCACCCCTATTCAAATACGAAGCAATCTGGATATTAATTTCATTATAAACATCCTCCTCAATTATTATGTAGTCAACTACAGCCAAGTTCATTCTGTGCAAGAATCAAAGATTACCTTATTATTAATCTAAGATTATTAAAGGGTCAGCATCACAGAAAAGTGAATTGCCCTTGAATATTTAAATATGAGAGTCTGATATAGTGAACACAGATACATTTTAAAAATCTTCTATTCACTCTAGTTCCCAAGTGTCAAACACAGATCAGGCCCTCGACACAATTCTCCCCAGCCCGCAGAAGTATTTTCACTTTCTATCAATATTAGCCTGTTTCACAATGCGCTGCACTACAGCCCCCAGCATGCACTGCAATGTTATGTGCACTCCGACTCTCCTACCCCAACGACAGTCTACAGGACATCAGTTACACCTCAATTCTACACAATTGGGCACAATTCCACACCAGTCCTATCACCAAAATGCATTTCAGCTGCAGTTCAACCAATATAAACCCCTAACATCAGCTCAACAGCTCAGAAATTGAGCCTAAGAATTAATAAACTTGCAGCAAAGAAAGGATGCCAGTTGTCTAGTTCAAGCAGATAGGTAGGTTTAAAAGACTGAGCTCATGGGGACATTTAAATATTTTAAGTATTCATGTAATATTTCAAGGTTTGCTACAAGTGCCTGCATTTACTGTTGACGCTTTTGCATATTTTGAATAAACTATGGCCAGTTCAAGTTACAGGTTTAATTAAAAAATGAAATAAAACCTTTTTTTTCCTCTGGCCCACAGATTTGTTGAGATTCTCTAATATGGCCCTTTTACTCGTTGAGTTCGACACCCCTGCTCTAGTTCATACACTGGAAATAAGCTGCAAAAGCAGTCCATTTTAAATTGTTTTTGTGATGTCACAAAAACCAATGCACTTACAAAGATATCTCCCTATTCAGCCTACGGCACTTTAGCCCTGTCTGTTCACGCTGAAGTTATAAACAATGTCCCAACACAGGCGTTTTCGAATGAGGCATAACACATTTCAGCCAATCAGAAAAAACAGATTGTGCTAAAGGCACTGAAACAAAAACAGTCTGTTTAATTATAAAAGATAAAGAAAGCTGAAACTTTCGATAAATTATGGCACTTTTGGTAAATAAAACCACACAAACTTAAGTGTATAAGAACATACGACAATACAATCTCCTGCAGAATCTGATTAATTATTTGAAACTAGATTGCAAACAGTGTGAGTATTTTTGAAACGAAATACTTTTGGACAGTTTGTAAGTAAGTAAATAGAGTGAGGGTGCTGGGGTACCTGGTCGTGGTACTGGCTGCTGCTGCTGACGGCCCCGCAGGGTGCAGGCACAGCGCTGGGCCGCTCCAGGGGACAGCTGGGCTCGGGGAAGGCCAGGGAGGAGGAGGTGGGGCCTGTGTGGTGGTGATGGTGGTGGAAGTGGTGCGAGTGGCTGTGGGAGTGCTGAGCAGCAGGCTGCTGCGGCCCGGGCTGCTGCGTCGGTCCAGCCTGCATGCACCCTGAGTGAGAGTGACCCAGGGAGAGGTGCCCTGAGGAGGGTCCACTGCAGGGCGAGTGCTGGGGGCAGCAGGATGGCAGCCTAGGCATCGCTACACCTCCACTCTCACTTGATGAACCTCTCCTACCATCTTCTGATACAAAAGACCAGACAGAACACTCATGAAAAAATCTATAATTACAACTTTCTCACAGAAACAATGAGTTCTGTCAATAGCTATTCAGTTTAACAGGTCTGGGCTACTAATTGAGAAATAATAAATAAAAACATACAATGTAGATTCAATGTTCCCCCTTACCTCCAATGTAGATTATCAGCCAAGACATGCTTAGTGTCTGAAGTTCTTAAGTTCACTGGCTCAGTGAACAAGTCACGTCAAGTTGTTGTGCTTTTTTTGGCCAAACAATCCCTTTAACAGGACTGAGCTAAAGGAATGGTAATTTCAAATTTACACAGTTTTAGAACTCATTTCAGACACAGTCAATTGGCCAAGGCATGTTTGGTGTTCAAATTTTCTCTCTTTAGTTGTAACCAAGGTGAAACGTGATAGTCACCTGAATTTTTTATGTAAATACATCCCCAAAAGTTTTCTCAACCAACTCAAACCGCTTCCACGTTGGCATTGTTGGGATGAATGTATTTTACAGCCGCACTCTCACACATGCATATGTGCCCTCAAACAGACCACTGTGCACTTGTAACCTTATTTATTCAGTATTATTCGGTATATCTATATATAAAAAATAAAGATGTTTAATATTTTATTAAACTGATTTTATAAAGCTAAGGGTCTTGCACATGCATCACAGCAATATGTGCACATGTATGTATAAGGAGTGAGAGGGGGTATGCAGTGGGAGGCTTAAAGGCAATAATCTACAAACAAAAATGTGAGAGCTGCTAATGTGTGCTCTGGCCTAAGAAGCCTCAATGCATCACATTTGTTCTGAATAGCCCAATGTCCACTTCATGCAGACTCTTCTCACCCTCTGTGGCAGTGGCGGAGGTGGTGCTCAGTCCTTGAGCCCCACTGAGGGCCTGGGCCTCCAGCGTGCTGTCAGGGGCCATGGCAGAGCAGCTTCCGGAGGGGCCCGGGACCTCCTGGGGTGGCTCTGAGGTAGAAGCATGGAGGGAGGAGGATGAAGAGATGGAGGAGCTGGCTGGCTGAGAGTGGAGGCTGTCAGAAGTGGTTGGCACGACTGAGAGATCTGAGAAAAATACCAAAACACACAGAGAAACACACACAAAGGGTAAGAATGACTGATGTGTGCTCCTGACCGAATGCCTGCCTTTAAATCTCTAATTTGAGTGCAAGACTAGGTGTGCTGGTTTTTGTAAGTTTCCATGATAGCGATGTTCTGAAAGACAAAGAAAAACAGAGACGCTTCATGTTTCAATTTTAGACACTGAAGGGGTCAAATCGTTTCGTTTTTGGTTACTGAGGTACAGGTTAGGATAAGGCTTGAAGCATTCTTATTATATCTAGATACAAACACATACAGCCACACACAACAGTTTGAACACACTGGGTCAAATTATGCTTTGTTGATTTTCTAAGTGAAAAAAAAACATCCTCAAGGAAATAAACTTAAATATGGCATTGGTCTGCAAATTTATGCACACAGTTGTGTTCTCTGTAGAGCAATGGTTCTCAGTCCTGGTCTACAGCCCTGCTTGCTTTAGTGTTTCTTCTGCTCCAACAAAGCCAGTTGACCTATCAGAATCATACTGGTATTGTTAGATTTTGACTTTATTAGTACATAATGCAAACCCAGGTAGTCTAATTTATACATTTTATGAATGTTCATGCATATGCATTAGCAGAGATATATATATATATATATATATATATATATATACACACCTAATATATGTTTCATATATATATATATATATATGAAAAATATATTAGGTATCAGCATTGACCCAGAATCTGCACACCGGAGCATCCCTAATTATTATACATAGAACATTAACTAATGAATATTGGTAGGTATATACATGCATACTGAACATATTAGGTTTACATACATATACATATATATATATATATATATATATACACATACATATATACATACATCTATATCACACACACATATACATACATACATACATACATACATACATACATATACACACACACACACACACACATATATATATATATATATATATAAATAAATATAATCAGGAATAACATTATAACCACCTCCTTGTTTCTACACTCATTGTCCATTTTATCAGCTCCACTTACTATATAGGAGCACTTTGTAGTTCTACAGTTACAGACTGTAGTCCATCTGTTTCTCTGCATACTTTGTTAGCCCCCTTTTACCCTGTTCTTCAGTGGTCAGGACCCCCATGGACCCTCACAGAGCAGGTAGTGTGTTAGTGTGTGTTTGTGCTGGTATGTGTGGATCAGACACAGCAGTGCTGCTGGAGTTTTTAAACAACTCAGTGTCACTGCTGGACTGAATAGTCCAACAACCAAAAACATCCAGCCAACAGCGTCCTGTGGGCAGCATCCTGTGACCACTGATGTAGGACTAGAGGATGACCAACACAAACTATGCTGACACACATAAGCTGCTGTCTCTGACAGTGAGTGGACACTGAGGTGTTTAAAAACTCCAGCAGCACTGCTGTGTCTGATCCACTCATACCAGCACAACACACACCAACACCTCCACCACATCAGTGTTACTGCAGTGCTGAGAATGATCCACCACCCAAATCGTACCTGCTCTGTGAGGGTCCATGGGGGTCCTGACCACTGAAGATCAGGGTGAAACAAAGTATGCAGAGAAACAGATGGACTACAGTCTGTAATTGTAGAACTACAAAGTGCACCTATATAGTAAGTGGAGCTGATAAAATGGACAATGAGCGCAGAAACAAGGAGGTGGTCATAATGTTATGCCTGATTATACACACACACACACACACACACACACACACACACACACACACACATATACATATATATATATATACACATACACACATCCTGATGCTGTTTAAAAACAAGTGGGCGTGTACGAGAGCGTGCAAGAGACTTGCTTCAGTGACCAAGCGGCCCAGGAGGATTGCTGCTCATTAACATTCCAGAGTGAGCGTTCCATCTGCTTTTCATATTCACAAATTAATTTCTCTCCCCCTCAAAAGAAATGCAAATGCACCCATATCTCCGAGCTCTCTGCTCTCATCCCTCACAGCCAAAGGCTCAAAAAAAAAGAAAAAAAGGGAAAATGACTTTCAACCTGAAATCAAATCTAAGTGATGTAAATTAGTTTTCTTCTATAAACCTTAGAAACACGTAGCAGATTATGGTGCACATACATACAGACAAAACCACCTTTATCCAGAGTGGCAGTTTAATTGGTTTCAATAGCGCAGCTCATTGTGTCTCAGTGAGCTCAGAGGCAGCTTGCATAACAGACAGACTTCATTATGCTGCCTGCAAATGAAATTAGGAATACAGACAATTATACACACAGAACATCAAAGAAAGGCTTTGGGTGCTGCACACACCAGCCTGCCACTGAAACTGCAGCTGCAGAGGGCTATTTATACCACAGCTCTTGATTAAAAGATATAGATTAATCATTATTAATGGTGCCTGCGCGCAAGCAAGCGGCTTGGAGTGTATGAATGGTCATGACTGAACAACATTAATTGAATTTTCCAGACTCATTCCTCCTCCCCCTCACTTTCTCCCTCTCTTTTCTCTCTCTCATAGGCTCTGAGGTGCAGCCTGTATCTCAGAGATGTTGGAAGCGCTCGTAGCAAAAACTGAGTAGATTTGATGTGACATCTAATATTTCCCCAAACCCACGCAGTGTTGAACTGGATGATCCAACAGTCATCTACTGCCGCTAAATCTCATGCCCGGAGAGCCTCATTACGGCACTGCGCGATGAAGAAGACTCTAATCTAACACCGACAGAAAAGAAAGAAATAATAAAAAATTGCGCTTGTGGTAAATTTAGAAAATTACACAAAGACTTATAGAGAATATTCACTCTGTTCAGATACAAAGCAAATATTTTCAGTCATGTCAGCTGGGCTGGGACTCAAATGCTCAAAATATTAATACAGCAACAAACCCCAAATGCAAATTATATACATTGGGGTCCAAACGTCTGAGACCACTAGCGAAAATGCTTCTATTTTGCATTCCTTTCTAATTTAATAGCAAGATTTTTTACTACAAATTCTATTACCAGCATAACAATTTGTATTAAAAGGAGAATCTTTGACATTTTAATATGAATTTCAGGATTTCTTAGTATTTGATATGTCCTTTTGCTTTAATGACAGCATACATTTGAGCTAGCATGGACTGATGCTTGTGGAAAAGCCTCTGCAAATCCTCCTGAGAGTCATCCGAGTTTCAATGGATCAGATAAAACTAAAAAATTTAAAAACCTTTCTGTACAAAGACCTTAACAGAGTCGAGTAGTACAGAAATAATGCACAATCGAACATTTGTTCATTTTACTTTTTGTTTCACATTTTTAAAAATTATGAAAATGTCATTAATTTCCAAGTTTAAATAAAATTAATATATATATATATATATACTATATATATATATATATATATATATATATATATATATATACACACACCAGATTTTCAATGCTGTCTCAGACTTTTGGACCCCACTGTATATATTTTTAAGACTGATCAATATATCAATAAATATTCATAACTAGAATGAAATCAATAGAACATTTGTTTTTTGCTCCAGTTCAGTGACATCACAGCTAACATCCCCAGCTCCAGTTCAGTGACATCACAGCTAACATCCCCAGCTCCAGTTCAGTGACATCACAGCTAACATCCCCAGCTCCAGTTCAGTGACATCACAGCTAACATCCCCAGCTCCAGTTCAGTGACATCATAGCTAACATCCCCAGCTCCAGTTCAGTGACATCACAGCTAACATCCCCAGCTCCAGTTCAGTGACATCACAGCTAACATCCCCAGCTCCAGTTCAGTGACATCACAGCTAACATCCCCAGCTCCAGTTCAGTGACATCACAGCTAACATCCCCAGCTCCAGTTCAGTGACATCACAGCTAACATCTACAGCTCCAGTTCAGTGACATCATAGCTAACATCCCCAGCTCCATTTCAGTGCCTTAAAATGGCATCCACTTTTTTCATCTGCGGTAAATCACCTGTCTGAAAAGGCCCCATGCTGACTAAATATTGAGCTGAACCTCAATATTTATGATGATGGTTTCCCCAAAACGTACACCTGCTGAGGAGGAGGAGGAGGTTAGTAGTAGTATTTAGTAACTACTAAGCTCAACATGAAAACTAGTTTATGTGGTGCAACTCTTTTGGATTTAGTAATGCATAAACCTGAACTTAGTGAACACTTACGTTACAACTAGTCTATGTTTGAACTTGGTGCTGGTGCAACCGGCCACTGAGCTCTCTCATGCACATCTAATCACAGCCACTACCGAACTGTACATAGGAACACCAAGTGGTTGGCACAGGAACAGCAGGTTTATGCTTGTGTGGCTCTGACCCAAAAGGATTTGCATTATGAGTTTACGACATCATAAGCTTAAAACAACACCTTAATTAAGCATATAAAGCTGGAGTACATAAAGTAACTAGGGTTTCCTTCGTGTTCCTGTTGCTGCTTCTCTTTGCTGTAATTTGATTTGCTTGGTTAGATGCTAAACTGGCTGGTTGACTCATGCTGGATTTTTTTTCCCAAGCATGAGCAGGCGTGAAAAGAGCACTCAGACAGACAGCGCAGTGTCTCTCTCTCTCACACTGAGCACTAGATTTCTGAGGCTGTACTTCCAGATGGGTCAGAGAAACAAGGAAGTAGAAAAGAGAAGGCTAAGCAGAAGTGTGTGTTTGTGTAGCATGCGCAGTAGTATGTGTTTATACATGTAAACGGTAGGATACAATAAGCAGGGCTAAAAGATGAATAGATTTTGCCATTCGACAGCTACAATTTTATTATAGCTACATTATCAAGATTCCTGACTTTTAAGTGGGATTTTTTTTTTACCTAATAACACAGACCTTGTGGATCACCTGTTGATGAGTTAGACCAATTAAAAGCAACCAAACACTCACACAACACCACAACCAGAACTACCTAGCAATCTGGCTAGTTCACTGTTCAAACTCAAAGCCAGCAAAAAACTGGATATGCTGCATATATGTTGATATACACCGATCAGGCATCACATTATGATCACCTCCTTGTTTCTACGCTCATTGTCCATTTTATCAGCTCCACTTACTGTATAGGTGCACTTTGTAGTTCTACAATTACAGACTGTAGTCCATCTGTTTCTCTGCATACTTTGTTAGTCCCCTTTTACCCTGTTCGTTAGTGGCCAGGACCCACATGGACCCTCACAGAGTAGGTAGAGCACTGCAGTAACACTGATGTGGTGGTGGTGTGTTAGTGTGTGCTGCGCTGGTATGAGTGGATCAGACACAGCAGTGCTGCTGGAGTTTTTAAACACCTCAGTATCACTGCTGGACTGAGAATAGTCCACCAACCAAAAATATCCAGCCAACAGTGTCCTGTGGGCAGCGTCCTGTGACCACTGATGAAGGACCAGAGGATGACCAACACAAACTGTGCAACAGCAGATGAGCTACTGTCTCTGACTTTACATCTACAAGGTGGACTGACAAGGTAGGAGTGTCTAATAGAGTGGACAGTGAGTGGACACAGTGTTTAAAAACTCCAGCAGCACTGCTGTGTCTGATCCACTCGTACCAGCACAACACACACTAACACACCACCACCATGTCAGTGTTACTGCAGTGCTGAGAATGATCCACCACCCAAATAGTACCTGCTCTGTGAGGGTCCATGTGGGTCCTGACCACTGAAGAACAGGGTAAAAGGGGGCTAACAAAGTATGCAGAGAAACAGATGGACTACAGTCTGTAACTGTAGAACTACAAAGTGCACCTATACAGTAAGTGGAGCTGATAAAATGGACAATGAGCGTAGAAACAAGGAGGTGATCATAATGTTGTGCCTGATCTGTGTATATAAACACAGCCAAAAAAACAAGCCTGTATCTGAATTTATAGAATATAACTGCAATTTTAAAGGCAGTCGCAATACTAGAGAGAAGGATCACAATTATATAATTTTCCCCCAATTGCTCAGCCCTACTAGCAAGATAAGCTTTTTAGTGAAATTGTACGCTAGTGCACATGTGAAATGAACTGAATTTCAAACAATACAGAAAAACAGAAGCTCTTGTGTCCTTACCGTCCTCATCCACAGTGAGGTCCACCACCTCCCCAGCGCTCTGCCTGAGGGGCTGGATGACAGTGGACAGACGATGACGCCCTCGGCCCTCCTGAGCCCGACTCTGAGAGCAGCTCGGTCCCCAGTGCATCCTGCCATGACCCCCCACTGACCGTGGCCTGCCAGAAACACAGACACATAAAATAATGCATTAGTCAATAATCACACCAACCATTTAGCCAATGCCTTGGTCAGGAATAAACATTAAAACCTGTCAATATAATCATGTAACATATAAAGAAGTCATATGAACCTAAGTGACCTCAAAAAGCGGAAAACATCCTCACAGATGGAGAAAGGGAGCTAATCAGTATGTAATTACCGAAGAGGCTTTTAAAGAACATGCAATGCACAGAGAAAATCAAAGCTCAATTGTATGTTGCTAATGTTGCTTTGAGTGAGTATTAGAAGTAATGTACTTAAAGCAGGAGATGATTTCAGCCTGAACAGCATTTTTAGCTACAGTACTGAAATGAGCTCCACTTTAGCAGCTGGTAGAATGATCACAGCTAGAATGTACATAAGAGCCAGCTGACATGGGAGCTGGAGCTGCTGCTGATACACACACACACACACACACACACACACACACACACACACACACACACACAATATATAAAACAGAGTACAGGAGCCTTTAAACTCTCTTTAGAAGACCAGATCATGTACTGCACCACAAAGACCATAAGAACTAGTTTTTATGGGTTTCTGTAGAAAATATTTGAAAAGTGAATGATGTGTGCACTGGATGCTGGGTAAACCTGGCATGACAAGCAGAATTCGGTTAAAGAATTCAATCAATCAATCAATCAACCAACCAAACTTTATTTAGAAAACCTCTGAATAAAGACCCTCATTTACAACATGGCCAAGCCAATACAGAAATCAGGGAATGAGAAGCTAAACAGTAAAAAACATAAATGCTAAAAAGTAATAATCATAGTACTAAATAAAAAAAATATATAAATCAATAAACCATTAAAAATGACAACATAAAATTACAATGATATTGTAACTTAATAAATAAGATAAAATAAGGATAAATAAAAGATGTAATTAATTAAATAAAGGATGTAAAACGATAGAGCTTGGCAACATTAAAATAAATAAGAACACAATAATAAAAATGAAACCAGTAAAAATAAGACTCCACTTTAATATTGGCACAAAATCTTTCTTTCCAGGCAAGCCTAATAAATCAAAAAACTTCTGTAACAAATTAAGAAAAAAAAATTCAACTTTCCTAATTTTTTTAAATAAAAGTTTGATGTAGTATGCAAACATCTGAAAATGTGGAAATCAAAATAGTTCCTTTCAAATTCACCATTTTTGTGATGTCATGAAAACCAACACTTCACGTATTCACCTTACAATTTAGCCGACAGCAATTTAGCTCCGTCCATTCACAATGAAGTTATAAGCAAAGTTTTAGACTGGACTGCCTTTTGAACGAGGCACAATAAAGCAAAGCCAATGAGAACAAAGCTCATTTACATACATCAGTCTTAAAGGCACAGCCTGTTTAATTCTATGAGGTAAAGAGAGGTTGGAAAACATGTTTTGTAAAAATGAATTCTTTGTACATAAAACTACACAAATGTTATAAGTGGACCTTAACAATAAAATGCAATAATAGTGTAGAATGTAGCCCTTTAATATACTGATTCTAGGGCTGTCATGGTTATATGAGTAATCAAGCGATCTAACAAGCATTTTGACAATTCACTGAGTAACCAGTGGCCAAGCAGCCAAACAAATGAAAATAGAGTTAGCTTAACAATAATAAACCACACACAGCCTTCCACAGATTCCAAACACAAAAAAACTGTGTGGCAAAAATAATATAAATAGGTCTATCAGGCTCTGTTTTCTACTGTAGGACAGAGCAGCAGGAGAATTTGAAATACGCTTCATCACTTCAAATACGCAGCCCTTATTTCTGCTGGTGTCTGTCCTCTCAGCATATTTGAAGAAGAGAGAATTGATAGCAAATGTATCTCTCAGGGCACAGTGTGATGAGAACTGGGGGAGGTAATGAGGATGGGGGGAGGTAAGAAGGGGAGTGACGCTGGCAAAGATATTTAGCAACGTCTACAAATTAGCCTTGTGCTAACCCCAAAATAGAGGGAGCTTCTCTCTCCCAATATAAAAAAATATGGAAAGACCAACCATAGGTGAAATGAAATGAAAAATCAAAATATTAAGCGGAAAGACAAAAATAAAAAAAGAAAGCCAAAAAATAAAAAGAACGTTTGCATTAGAACACAAACTGGACATCAAAGTTTTACGGACTGAGAAGTCTAAATTCGTAATTAGGGATCGGGAGCAGCAGAATATGCAGCCATTAACTTGAACCTAAAGGACGTTTTTAACGTACATTAATAAATGGAGGGTGGTCTCTGACCACTACCTTTCCACATAAATGAAAACAGTAATATCATCCATAAACAGCTGACATTCTATAAGAACATCATGCTTCTGAAAACTGAGCCACAACAATAAGAAAAACACTGAGCAGTGAATAAACTGGCTGAATGTGGACGTGTTGGTGCACAAACAAACATGTGAGGAGGAAACAGAAGCTGGAGAGATCCAGAGTTTCAGCCCAGACAGTGACATCACCCACCCCAGCCCAGGTCACATGACTGAGCATGTGAGCCCCGCTTCCCTCTGACCGGTATTACAGAGAAAACCGCCGTCTGTTTGTCTCCCTCTCCTTCTCTCTTTCTCTCTCTCATATTTCTTGTTATTTAATAGATTTCAATCTATCCACCTGCATTTTCTTTTTCAGTCTAACCATCCATCTGTCCTTCCTTTTGGCATATCCATCATCTATCCTTTTTTGATCTATCCATCTACCTACCCTCTTTCTTTAAATCTACTTGTCATTTTTCTTTTGATTATTCCATGTATTTATCCTTTCTTTTAATTCAACCTATCCATTTATCAATTTATCCATTGATACATCCCTTTTTTCTTTTAATTCATCATCTATCGTTTACTTCCATCCATCCATTTACCTATCATTTATTAGCATCTATCATTTTCTTTCAATCCATTCATGTATCCATCTACTTTCAATCCATCTATTTATCTTTCAATCTATTCTATCAATTTATGCTATCTATCTATCAACTTTCAACTCCTCACAATAAAAAAGGCTTTGTGGCAAATGTCAAAATTCCCACTTAATTTCGAGGAATTCTGTGGATGCTCTGGGAATTCTGCGGGTTTGCAGTGGGACTGAATCCATAGGAATGACCCAGCGGCTCAAGCTGCCGTAAAGCAGAGCATGGTGATGAAGAGAGAGCGCAGCGTAACTCAGGAAGGGCTTTAGGGGCTGTAGCCTCCCCGTCTGGAGACCCAGGAAGCCCCCTGCCTCCCAACCCTCCTGTCTGGCCCCTTAGCCACAGATTGCATCATTAATACATCAAAACAAAATGATTACCAACAAGTGCGCAGGGCCTCGGGGAAGTCTCCCGAGATCAGCGGCGTGCATGCGGTTCACTAACCAGCAAACAATCCACTGAAAACAACAGTGCTGAACCTCACTTTCACTGGTGCTGGCAGGCTAAATGGAAAACCGAAAAGAAACAAAATCAAAAAAAGATGAATAGTAATAAAAGTAATAGCAAAAAAATCTGTAATCGTTCTGATCGCTAATTAAAAAAGAGGAGTCTTGCTTCTCAGCGTTTAACCAGCTGTCTGACAGCACGACCTAGTCATAAAATTAGAGAAGGGAAGCTAATGCCAACACTAGTGCTAATACTAGTGCTAACACTAGAGCTAATACTAGTGCTAACACTAGAGCTAATACTAGTGCTAACACTAGAGCTAATACTAGTGCTAACACTAGTGCTAATACTAGTGCTAACACTAGAGCTAATACTAGTGCTAACACTAGAGCTAATACTAGTGCTAACACTAGAGCTAACACTAGTGCTAACACTAGAACTAAAGCTACAGCTAACACTGGAGCCAATGCTAGTTATCCTAGTACTACATTAGAGCCAACTCTAATGCTAGTGCTAACATTAGAGCTAATTCTAAGCTCCAGAGCCAACTCCAGAGCCAACTCCAGAGCCAACTCCAGAGCCAACTCCAGAGCCAACTCCAAGACTAGAGCCAACTCCAAGACTAGAGCCAACTCCAAGACTAGCGCTAACACCTGAGCTAACTGAAATGTGAGATAAGGGTACGCATTATCTTCTATACAAGGTCTTTTCAGAAACTATATTACTTATATACTTATTTTCACAAAGAATATTTTCTATTTGTGAGTATAAGCAAAATGGTCACTGAAGTGGGACCTCAACACAGATCTGCACTCAGCATGGGGTAAAATACTGAGGATTTAAGGCCTCCTCGGGCAGAACACTGTTCACAACCTACAGCACTCAGTCTTGGACGAAAACCTCCCCCAGCATTGCACAACACACGCCGGAGAGTGAAAGAAAAAATCTGCAAAAAACAACCAGCATTATTCAAAGTATGGTACAAAGTAAACAGCAGAATACAAGGCCTAGAGATAACCACTTTCCAAAACAGCAACCTGAGTCAACAAACAAAAGCACAGAGCACAAGAAGGCCTGCGCTGGATACTGAGGCTACTTAATGCAAGGTTAATGGGAGCACCAATCATTTGCATTTTTGTTTTCATTTATTTTTGCTTAAATGGAGAATAAAACATTAGACATAATCAAAATAATGGCTACTTACAGGTTATAAAAATATGCAATTTGTTTTGCATAACTTTTGCAATTAAAATGCTTCGTGTACTCAGGGTCAAATGCCACAGCAACGTCACAGAGATTTAAGAGAAAATTGGAGTTAGAAATACACAAACATCCACTCAATTTCCCTGCTTCAGTATCACTGATCTGAAAGGGAAGACTACAAATACCTAAGACTGCGATGCTGCTCTCTAATTGGTCGTTGTCTCCCACAGCAGCGTTGCTAAGATCCCAGAGAGATGACACCATCTCCTGGGAGGAGTTTCTAATTACCCACAAGTAGGCCTGGGATTATTTTGTAAATACCTGTTTACCACTATGGCCTTCTGAGGCCTCGGTGAGAGTGGAAAACTGTAAACACAGGCACTGGGGGAGCTTCCTGGGTG